TTCTTTTCTTCTTCTTCTTTTTTTGCTCTTTGGCCCACACCCAGCAATGCACAGGGGTTACTCCTGGCTCATGCACTCAGGAATTACTACTGGTGATGCTCGGGGGACCATATGGGATGCTGGGAATCAAACCCGGGTCGGCCACGTGCAAGGCAAACGCCCTACTCGCTGTACTATCACTCCAGCCCCGCCTGAAAATGTTTCATTTTGTGGCTCTGGAGTGATAGTATAGTGGGTATGGCACTGGACTTGCACATAACTGACCTAGGTTTGATCCCTGGCATCCCAACGGTTCCCTGAGGCCACCAGGAGTGATCCCCGAGTGCAGAGCTAGAAGTAAGCCCTGAATGCCTCTGGGTGTGACCAAAAAAAAAAAAAGACAAAATAAAAAACAATAAAAACCAAAGAAGTTTTGTTTTGTTGAGGAGGGTATTTTGGGCTACACAGTGGTGCTTGGAGACACTCCTGGTAGTGTTCGGGGAACTGCATTGCCAGGTATTGAACTTGAGCCTTCCACAGGCAAAGCAAGCGCTTTAACCTTTGTAATATCTCTCTGGCCCTCAATCACTTAAAAAGGTGAAAACAATTCTTAGGTTTTTGGACTGATAAAAACAGAGGTGAAGGCAGGAGAGACAGAGTACAGCAGAGAAGGCTTTTGCCTTGAACAAGACCAACCTCAGCGTGATCCTCAATACCACATACAGTCTCCCATGCACAGCCAGATGTAACCCTTGAGCACAGAACCAGAAGTCCTGAGCACAGATGGGTAAAGCCTCAAAACCAAAAACCAAATGAAAAATCCCTGAAGGATATCTTTACTTAGCTCGTTGCCTATAGTTTGCTGGCTCCTGTTCTACCTGCTACAGTATAAATGATATATTTTCATTTTCATGTGTTGCACTTGTCATTGTAGGAATTATGTGACTTCTTTTTTCAGGGAAAGGTAAAACTACACTCAACGGTGTTTAGGACTTAATCCTTGCTTTGTGCTCAGACTTGGGCAATGCTCAGGGTACTATATATGGTGCCAGGGATATTGAATTCAAGTTGACTGTGTGCAAGGCAAGAGTCCTACCCACATCACTATCTCTCTGGCTGGCCCCTCCAGAATTCTTTTTGTGGGGGGAGGTGGGAGTTTGGACTTTTGGGTAACAACCTGTGGATGTCCATGGGGTTATTCCCGGCTCTGTGCTGAAGTGTGATCCCTTGTGTTTCTCAAGGAAATATATGCGATGCTTTGGATTAAAACCAGGATTCAAGGAAAGTACCTTAACCCTCTGGTACTCTCTGATCCTGTGACAATATTTTTGTTGTTGTTTTTGGGCCACAACTGGCTGTGCTCAGGGCTTATTCCTGGTGGGCTTGGAGGACCACATGGGGTGTTGGGGATTGAATTTACGTCAGCTGCATGCATGGCAAATGCATGGCCTACCCAGTGTACTGTCACTCCAGCTCCTGTGACAGTTTCTCAATGTCTCCAGTTGGAAGTATGGAGACATTGAGTAAGAAGTAAGAAGCCAAAAAAAAAAAAAAAAGCCTCCACAGGGGCCTGGAGAGAGAGCACAGGGCTAAGGTACAGGCCGCGCATGGGCTCAATCCTGCTCAATTCTTTTTTTTTCTTCTTTTTGGGTCACACCCAGCGATGCACAGGGTTACTCCTGGCTCATGCACTCAGGAATTACTCCTGGCGGTGCTCAGGGGACCATATGGGATGCTGGGAATCGAACCCGGGTCGGCTGCGTGCAATGCAAATGCCCTAACCACTGTGCTATCGCTCCAGCCCCAATCCTGCTCAATTCTTGACATCATATATAGTCCTCCTTAGCATCACTGGGTCATGGCAAAGTTCCTAGGACATGCCTGGGATGTGCTTCCCTTCTCCTAAAAAAAATAAAAAAACAACTAGGCAATGATGTACATACACAACACACACACACATATTTATTTTGCACCATACCCAGCGAGTGATGCTCATGGGTTACTTCTGGCAGTGCTCAGGGGACCATAAGAGATTCTGGGGATCAAACTTGGGTTGGCTGTGTGCAAGGCAAGTACCTTACTCGCTGTATTATCACTTCAGCCCTGTGGGCAATGATATCTTGGAAGAGTTCAGTTTTCAGCATGTTTTGTTTCAGAAACCAACAGGAAGTTCCCAATCATCTGGACGACCTGTGCTGAGGTTCAGATGAAGAGGAGAGTAAAAGGCATAAAGGAGATGTTAGAGCTACAGGAGCATGCCAGCGCACTCAGGGAGAGAGGCTGATGAGGAGAGAGGAGGTTGGAATGGGAAAAGTTCTCAGCTAGAGAACCCACCAGGGGTGGGAGACCGCTCAGAAGAAATATGGCATAGATTTATTTGAGACACCCAGAGGAATGATTTTTTTTTATCTATCTAGTTCACCACCACTGTATTCCAATTATTTTCCAAATGATCAACTCAGAAACTGCCGAATCAACCCTGGCGATCAATTGGGTGATAACTGGAATGAGAAAGAATGGAAGTGAATGGGAAGGAATGGGAGTGAATGGGAAGGAATGGGAGTGAAGATATATGGTCAGCAACTACACCACCTCCACTTTGCTGATGACACTGTTTTAATAACACCAAACATCAGCCAAGCGGCTCAAGTGCTGGCCGACTTTGACCGTGAGTGTGGAAAGGTAGGACTACAGCTGAATCTTAGGAAGACAATGTTTATGAGAAACAGCCTTGTTCCTGACGCTCCATTTGCTCTCAACGGAACGACCATCTCTGAATGGAACAGTTATGTGTACCTAGGTCGAGAAGTCAACATGACAAATGACCTGGCACCCGAGCTGCGCAGGAGGAAGAGAGTGGCTTGGAACGCCTTCAAGAGCGTCGAAGAAATAGCTAAGAGGACAGAGGACGAAGAACCTTCGGCTCTGGGCACATCTCTTTGATTCCACTGTTCTTCCTGTATTAACATATGCCTCAGAGACTTGGGCCCTACGCAAACAGGATGAGAACGCTATTGTTCTGGTCTCCCAAAGAGGAACTGAAAGAGCTATACTTGGAGTATCACGTTTCACTCAAATGAGAGAAAGAACCTAGAGTTTCCACCTCCGTCGATGATCAAGAATCAGGGACGCTGTCTCATTTGCCAAAGTGTCAAAAATCAGATGGGCTGGTCACATAATGAGATTTAGAGATGACCGCTGGATTAGAGCCGTTACCGACTGGACTCCACGGGATGTCAAAAGACCGTGTGGCCGCCCACCTACCAGATGGTCAGACTTCTTCATCAAGATCATGAACGATCGGTTTGAGGCTCTTCGTGTTCCTAGAACGAACAGACGCTATTAGGCTACACTAGCACGCGACAGGGACAAATGGAGACGTTACTGGCGCCCGCTCGAGCAAATTGAGATTAATGGGAAGTCAAGTGATCAAGTGATGTTCAATTCAGAAAAGTACACTAATTGAAAGTGAAATTGGATCAGAAAGTTTCAAGAAATAATACCTAGCACACAGGCTGCAGGCAGTGCCCAAAGAAGGAAGAGATGCAGTGTGGAGGGGACACTGGTTCCTGGGGCCACCTGAGGCCTGAGTTGGGGCTGATGAAGAAGACGGACTCCTGCCTATCTATTCATGGCTACTTTTTATTCTGCCTAGGGGATACGGAAACTCATCAAGAATGGATTTCTGGGGACTGCATAGTGAGTGGGATGCTTGACTTGCACGTGGCAGAGTAGGAGTTCAATCTCTGGCATTTCGTATGGTCCCCTAAGCCCTGCCAAGATTGATCCCTGAGCCAGGTATGGCCCCCAAACAAAAGCCTCTTAAAAAATAACGGTTCTTAAACCACACCAGAGTTTATTTTGTAGTGGAGAACCACCAACTCAAGCCCTACAAATTACAAAGCACCAAGAATTGCAGGACTACTTGGAAGAGCACTATAGGAGCTCTGAGGAAGTACACAGGGAGCACTCTCGCATACTGAGGGAACATAGTCGGAATACTCTGGGAGCACTATAGTGGGGAGGAGCAAGTTTGGTTTGGTTTGTTGAGCCACACCCTTCGGTGCTCAGGACTTACTCCTGACTCTGCTTTTAGGGATCACTCCTGGAGGGCTCAGGGGGTCATAGGTGGCGCCAGGGATCAAACCCAGGTCGGCCGGTCGCAGGCAAGGGAAGCATCCTAACTGCTGTGCACTCCCCCCGACCCTAACAGCAAGACAGTTTCTAAGGTTTCACGGAGAGGGGGGCTTTTCCATTACACTAGGGCAGGAATTGCAGAGGAAATCAGTCTCCGCAAAATCTTTCTCTGCCGCAGAGCGCCGTGACGTCTGGACCAGCAGCGGGGCCCTGTTTTCCAGCGGCCTCCCAGGGCCAGCCTAGGTGGCGGGCACTGCATCCCCGCAGGGGGCCGGCCGGCCGTGAGGGAGGGAGAGCGTCCTCCCCTCCTCGGCCCCGGGGTCTCAGAGGGAGGTCACGCTGCTCTCCCAACAGTAACAACTCCATTTTGTGTCCCGCTTTCAAGGGATTAGACGCTTTCAAGGGCCTGACTTTGCCGGAGCCTTGTAACAATTTCTCATTTCATGGGGCAAAAAACTGGGGCTCAGGGAGGTGGGCCAAATTTGCTCAAGGTCAAAAAGCGTGACGGGGGGGGGGGGCAAGCCGGGCTCCCCGCTCCGAGGCTGCTCTGACCACGAGAGCAGGCCGCGCGTGGGTGGGGCGCAGGCGCTCCCTCCGCGCCGCTTCCAAAATGGTGGGGGGCAGTGGCGTCAGCAACGCCCGCGCCTCTTCCGTCCATCTCCCTTTTTCCCTAGGCCACCCGGGCGGGGGGCGGGGGGAGGGCAAGGAGCAGCCCACGTGACTGGCGACAGCCAGGCGCGTGACGCCAGCGGCGGGCCTAGCGCTCGCTTGGCCTTCTGGGAAGTGTAGTTCGGTGGGCGGCCAAGCGGCCACGAAGAGCCGGGCCTGGGACTACGTTTCCCAGGAGGCAGCGCGGCGACGCCGCCGCCGCCGCCGCCGCCGCTCTGCCTTCGTCGTCGGAGAGCGGGGACGCTGGGCGCGCTGTCGGGCGGGGGAGAGGTTCGGGCCGGTTGTGCCGTTGCGAGGCTGCAGCTGCGATCGCGGCGGTCGGCCTAGGTGAGTGGGGTCTTCCGCTGGGGGTGAGAGCCGCTGCGGTGGCTTCCGTTCTCTCATATTTCATCTTTTCGCCGCGACCGCCTCGTCCGCCTGGCCCGGGAAGGCCCGGCGCGGAGCCGACTCCTCGGCCTCGTCTGAGCGGGCCCCGCTGGCTCCGGCTCCTCCCCCCTCCCCGCCCTTCAGGGCTTCCCCTCGCTCCGGCCGCTCCGCGTCCCCGGGCTGCCTCCCTAACGCTTTCTCCAGTCGAGCTGGCGGGGACCGGCCTCCTCGTCCCCTTTCCCTCTCTTTTTGGCTCCGCGAACCCCATTATTTGGACGATCCCCACCCCCTCCCTTCCCCGGAAACTCGTGCGCGCCCTTCCCCCCAGCCTCGTCTCCATTGGCCTGGTTCTGCCTTCCAGGGCGCATGTGGCTGGCGCTGCCGAAGGGCCCCCCTTCCGTTCCCTTGCGCCTGGTGGCCGGGAGTGGCGTAGTTCGCCGTTGGTGGCCGCGGGCGGTGTGGGGGGGGGACGTGCGCGCCCACTCGGAAGACCCCTGAGCGGGAAGGGGCGCCGACCAGCGTTCCCGAGGCGTTGGGCCCGCGGCGGTGGCTTCCCTGGGCACCGCAGGGATTGTTGTTGTCGGTTGGCCGTTCTCGGCTCCGGGAGGTCGGGGCCGGCGACGGCCGACGCGGGGTGGGTGCCCTGGAGTGTGTGTGTGTGGGGGGGGGTGGGTTGGGGGGGCGCCTCGAAGAACCCGGGCCCGCGGACCTGGGTTCGAATCTCGGTTCTGCCCGCTTTTGATTGGAGGTCGAGGGGATTGACCCGCGCGCCCCCCTGCACCCCCCCACCCCCTCCCCCGCGTGCCCAGCGTCCGTTCTGTGTTCATCGATCTGCCCGGCCTGGTGCGTTACTTCTTGAAGATCCCCAGCGGGCTGCTTGCTGTGAATTTGTGGAGGAAATCCGGCTTGGTTGGTCGAGCACACACTGGCAACATCGTCGAACTTTTTTTTTTTTTTCTGCCGCCATTTCGCCTTCTTTGTAGTTTGTAGGAAGGTGAATTGGGAATTTTCACGGAAGAAACCGAAGGCGGGGAGATGCTCACTGGTAGGGCTATTGCTTTGCGTGCGTGAGGTCCTGGTTTCTGGAACATTCCTGACACACACCTCCCCCCCGCCCCATCACCTCCGGATTTAGCTCTTTTTTTTTTTTTCGTTCCTTTTTTTGTGGTGGTGGGGATGGAAATCTGGGCCTCGTGTGGAAGGCGAGTGCTCGACAGCTGAGCTCCGGATCCATTCACTACGTTAAAACAAACAACAAGACCTTTTAGGACCAGTTAACGATCTCCAAGATTGCTTTTTCTGTTTGCAGACTTGGTACAGTCCAGTGGCGGCAGCGGTGATCGTAAGAAAGGACGTGGTAGCTGTAGGTGCCCCATTAAAATTTGAGTATGGGTTACAAAGTGTCCTGTTTTCTGCTGAGAAAATGGAGAGAGGATATTTCTGAGATTAGCACAGATGGTGAGGGAGCAACCTGAAAGAGCATGAAATGTACAGTTTATTAATTGTTAGTTGGTGATAGTTTTAACTCCTAAGAGTCTTCAGGTGCTAACCTGTTTCTCGGGCACAGTGACATCCAAAATAGAATTGCTGATTAACGTTTTTTTTTCCTCAGCTCTGAAATACTCTGTAAGCGTGTATGATTGGTTCGGTGATTGATTGATTTTTGAGTACTGCCTGAGCCTACCATCAGGTAGCGCGGGGTGGGGGTGGGTATGACACAAAGGGGGTCTTGTCTCTTGGGAACTTAGTGGGGGAAGACGACGGATAAATTACAAATTGAGAGAAGTGCTGTATGTGGCAATGTCATGCAGGGGACTCTGCTAAAAAAGAGGGAGAGGGGCTGGAGTAGTAGCACAGCGGGTAAGGCGTTTGACAAGATTCGATTCCCAGAGCACCACCAGGGGTAATTCCTGAGCGCAGAGCCAGGAGTAACCTCTGTGCATCGCCAGGTGTGACCCAAAAAGCAAATAAAAAAAAACTAAAAAGAGGGAGATAGATAAGTTTTTATTGTTCGTGCCAGGAATCAAACCCAGGACCTCTTGTTGAATGACATCCCTGGCCACAAGAATGAGGTGAGAGTTTTGTAGGACATCAGGGAGAGAGAGTTCCAGAAGGAGGGAACAGCAAATGCCCGAGCATGAAGATAGTAAGAATTTGGAGTGCTTTCAGAACTTTCAAGAGGCCAAGAAGGCTGACACGTAGTGAGGGGAGTGGTTGAAGATGAGCTAGAGAAACTAGACAGTTTGCAAGGCCTTTGAAGCTTTCTGGTGGGTGGGAGTGGTTGGTGTATATTTGAAAACTGCTTTTTCAGAAGTGTGGGAAAATGGATTGTAGGGTATATCAATGAATGGGCCACTGTGGTAGTCCATGCTGGAGACAGTAATCACCTAAGTAGAGTGGAGTGTCGAGGGGCATGGTTGGAGGAAGACAGTTTGGTACAGTTAATATTCCTTTAGCCAGACATCTTAATCAATGGTTTAGGGCATATGTTACAATTGTTGTGAAGGGGTACATTTTTTCACAAGGTTGGTCATTACTTTTCAGCCTATGAGACTGGGAAAATCCAATGGGAGTCTCAATTTATTTACTTATTGGTATTTGGCCACACCTGTACTAAAGGATCACTTCTTGTGGTGCCCAGGGGACCACATGCGGTGCTGGGGGTGAGAAGTCTGGTCTGCTGCATGCTAGGCAAGCTGCCCTGTCTGCAGTTTCAAAATTTAAGATCCACTGCTCTTGCCAGAGAGAGTTCCAAGGGCTGAGTTCATGCTTTGCATGCAGACGGCTGGATTTGATCCCCAGTACCACCTGATCCTTGATGTGGCACGTAAGATGTGGCACAAAAATAAACTACTGCTCTTCCTGTAAGGAAGGCATAGGCTCATGGGTTCCCAGGGAGTGTTGCGAATTTTCTCCTTAGTGAATATTCTTTCTAAATAAATGGTAATTTTTTAGTCTTTCAAGGGAGGTTTTTTCTTTTTTGGTGCGGGGGTGGGGGGCGCACTTCACGGTGCTCAGGAGACCATATGGGATGCTGGAAATTGAAAGTGGGTCAGCGGCATACAAGGCAAGGGCTGTACTAATGCTCCAGTCCCCCCAAGTATTTTTTTATTTTGGGGCCACACCCAGCTATTCCTAGCACTTACTCCTGGCTTTGTGCTCAGGGATGCTGGTGGGATTGGGGGACATATATGGTGCCAGGGAATTGAACCCAGATTGATCACATGCAAGGTAAACACCCTACCCGCTGCACTGTCTCTCCAGTTTGCCATATCTTCTTGTTAAAACAGAAGCTGAAAGACAAGACCAGATCCATTCTGCAGGTGTTTTGCTTTGTTCTTGCTGTGTCACTAACGTGAAGTAGTTGTCAACATTAAAAAGTTCTAGAAACATTTCACTCAAAATACTGGGTTCGGACTGCTTGTATTAATTTGCAGTGCCAGGGATTGAAAGTCAAGGAGGCCCTTACCACATGAGGGGCACCTGCCAAACTACAGAGTTGTATCTTGACCTTTTCCCCCTCCCCCTTTTTTTTTTATTTTTTAAGAAAAACCAGGTCTGAGATCCCTGGACCTGTGTTCCTGCTTTGCAGTGGCCATCTGTTTCGGGTGTGGAGTTGGGTCATACCTGGCAGTGTTAGGGCACACACAAGGCAAGCACCTTGATCCCTGTCCTGTCCCTCTGGCCATTTTGTTTTGGGCAGGCTGGGGTATTCTGTCCAGTTTATGCAAACTGTAACCACAGTTTCACATATTCCTGCAGTAGAGAAGAGAATCTGTCGATAATGGGTTTGTCGATAATGGGTTTTTTGTTTTGTTTGGGGGCCACAACCGAAGGTGTTCAGTGGTTACTCCTGGCTCTGCACTCAGGAATTAATCCTGGCAGTACTTGAGGGACCATATGGAATGCCTGGGAATGAACCTGGGTGGGCAGTGTGCAAGGCAAGTGCCCTACCGCTGTACTGCCTCTCCAGCCCCTGATGATGTATTGTTTATTTTACTTCTTGTGTAGGACTTTTTTAGGGGCCTAGGGGAGTCTGACCCAGCGATGCTCAGGGGTTACTTCTGGCTCTGCACTCAGAAATTACTCCTGGTGGCACTTGGCGGGAGCATATGGGATGCTGAGTATTGAACTTGGGTCGGCTGTGTGCTCTGGGAACCTTAATGGATGCCAGGAAGTAACGGGTCAGTTTTGTGCAAGGCAAATGCCTTACGCGTTCTATCTCTCCAGCCCTTCTAAAGGTAGAAGTTTTATTGTATTTTTTTTTCTTTCTTGGTTTTTGGCCATATAAAGCTTTCCTCAGGGCTTATTCTTGGCTCTGCTCAGGGATCTCTGCTGGTGGGGCTTAGGGGAACATATGTGGTGGTGGGGATTCAGTTCAGGTCAGGCACATACAGGGCAAATGCCTTACCTGTAGCTTTACTATCTCCCAGGCCTTCTCTTGTTCTGGATGTGTGATACAGGTCTCTAATGCCCCACCTAGCCATTTTAATGTCCTTTTATTGCTTTGCTTTTGGATCATACCTGACAGTGCTTAGGGCTACTTCTGGCTCTGTGCTTGACCATTCAGACATCAGATTTGGGCCTGCTGCATGATAAAAAGCATATGCTCAACCCTTTTTTTGTTTGTTTGCGGGGACGGTTTAGCCATATCTGGCAGTGCTGGGGGGGACCATGTGGTGCTAGCCCTTGAACTGAGGTGTGCTGCATGTAAGGCAAGCATAATCTATCTGACTCACTTTGTTTTCATCTTGGACTATAATATGGACACTTGTTACCAGTCTTACAATGTTTCTTCTTTTCTATTTTCTTTTTCCATTTTGGGTCACACCGGGCAATGTTCAGGGGTTACTCCTTTCTCTGCACTATGAAATTACTTCTGGCCTTGCTGGAGGAGTGGGGGAGGACACCATATGGGAGGGATCGAACCCCTGTCAGCTGTGTAGCCTTCCCCACAGGAC